GTTCTGGTCTCGTTCCAGAACAACGCCTTAGACGAACTAGCTGTATCTGCCGACCGCATTCTAGAAATTACGAAACCTTCTACTACCGAGGTATTTTCAGTCAAAGAAAAGCCTCACACGACTCAGAATGACATAACCGACTTATGTCACACACTCACGCGTTATCTTAGTCTTCGTACCGACCGTAAGAGATCGCGCACACCACGTAGAAGCATTTCTCGTAAGCGATCTGTCTCTAGACCACGAGAGACAGATAACCCCGACTGGTGCTGGTATCATAACCAGTATGGAAAGTTTTCCAGAAATTGCAGAAAACCCTGCAATTTTCCCAACACGAAACCGACTGATTCGAAAAACAATTCGGGAAACTTCCAAGCCGGCACGCGTTAACGGCAACCGTAGCCGGCGAACAAAGCCGTCTGTTATTCGTCACAGATGTGACAACGAGAGTTCGCTACCTCGTCGACACTGGCGCAGAAGTTAGCGTTCTCCCAGCAAATCCTAACGACCGACTTCACGAATCGACCCTAAACTTACAGGCGGCAAACGGAAAACCGATCGCTACGTATGGCAAAAGGTACGTTTACCTTAACGTGGGTTTACGCAAACCCATCCACTGGATTTTCGTCGTTGCAGATGTTTCTATGCCAATCATTGGTATGGACCTTCTACAACACCACAATCTGATCATCGACACTCGCAAACGGAGGCTAGTAGACGGAAACACTAATTTGTCCGTTTGCGTAACTTCTTTTACTGGTTGTAGAGTATCCCCAGTCACAGTTAAACATATGATAGACCCACTCTATCAACCACTACTCGATAAGTACCCTGGGATACAACAAACTCAACCGAAACTACCGTGTGTAACCAGCAATGTTACACATCACATCACGACTACAGGACCACCTGTATTTTCTAAAGCACGACGACTAGCTCCTGAAAAGCTAAGGTTAGCGAAAAACGAATTCGATCACATGATGGACTTAGGAATCATACGACCGTCAAGTAGCCCATATGCATCTCCGTTGCACATGGTCCCTAAAAAGGACAGCAACGATTGGCGTCCAACTGGTGACTATCGGCGATTGAACGCGAAAACCATTCCCGATCGTTACCCGTTGCCTCACATTCACGATTTGACAGCTACCTTGAAAGGTACAACTGTCTTTTCGAAAATCGACTTGGTTAAAGCGTATAACCAAATCCCTATGGCCACTGACGACATACCGAAAACAGCTATCATAACTCCCTTCGGACTCTATGAATTTTTGCGAATGCCTTTCGGTCTAAGGAATGCTGCTCAAACATTCCAAAGATTCATAGACGACGTTTTTCGAGGTCTCAACTTCGTACACGCGTATGTTGACGACTGTCTAATCGCAAGTCCGGACAGAGAAACACATCTCAAGCATCTGGACCTTGTTTTCGAACGATTACAAAAACATGGCATAACTGTAAACGTTCAGAAATGCCAATTTGGAACCGACTCGTTAGACTTTCTGGGACACACTATCGATGCTCAAGGTATCCGACCCCTTAGAACCAAAGTGGCGGCCATTCTGGATTACCCAGAACCGACCACCGTCAAGCAATTACGCACGTTCAACGGCCTGGTAAGTTTCTATAGACGTTTCATACCCAGATGCGCATCACTTATGAAACCTCTGACCGACCAACTTCGTGGAAATGCGAAATCCATTAATTTGGACGACACCGCACGAAAAGCATTCTCCACAGTCAAGGAACTGATTGCTAAAGCAACAATGCTCGCACATCAGGACACCCGAGCACCCATTAGCATCGCAGTAGACGCATCCGACTCAGCAATCGGAGGAGTCTTACAACAATGGGTTAACAACTCCTGGCAACCCTTGGCATTTTTCTCTAGAAGGTTGCTAGACACCGAATCGAGGTACAGCACATTCGGTAGGGAACTCCTAGCTATGTATTGTGCTGTACGGCATTTCCAACACTATATCGAAGGCCGTGAATTCACTCTTTTCACGGACCATAAACCGCTCACTTTCTCGTTAAGCTCTCCTTCTGACAAGTACTCTCCCCGTGAGTCTCGACAACTGGACTACATTTCGCAGTTTACTTCAGATATTCAACACATCTCTGGAGCAAACAATGTAGTTGCAGACGCTTTATCTCGTATAACTTCCTTGAACAGTTTCCAAGGAATCGACCTTCTTAAACTCGCCGAGCTTCAAAAAGAAGACAGTGATCTTCAGCACGAGTTATCGTCCACAACACTTAAACTACGCATCAAACAGATGGGAACAGGTAAGGAAACCTTACTTTGTGACACATCTACAGGTAGGGATCGCCCAATCGTGCCGAAACATTATCGACGCAATGTCTTCAACACATTGCACAAACTTTCTCATCCAGGTGTTCGTGCAACCATCAAGCTTATAGCAGAACGATTTTGCTGGCCTGGCATGAATAAAGACGTGAGGGAGTGGGCACGCTCCTGTGTAAGCTGCCAAAAATCTAAGGTTATCAGACACAATAAATGTCCCTTAGGCTCGTTTAAAACTCCCGATGCTCGTTTCGACCATGTTCATCTGGATTTGGTAGGACCTTTACCAGATTCAAATGGATACTCTTATCTCTTAACCTGCGTAGACCGTTTCACTCGATGGCCAGAAGCAGTACCTATCAAGGACAGCACTGCTGAAACAGTGGCCCGCACATTCGTCGAACGATGGGTAGCAAACTTCGGTTGCCCTTCAACCATCACTACAGACCGCGGACGTCAGTTTGAATCTGATCTTTTCCGTCGTCTGACCACACTTTTAGGAATCACTCGCTTCCGAACGACCGCCTACCATCCACAAGCAAACGGGTTGGTAGAACGTTTTCACCGACAACTGAAAGCTTCGCTATCAGCTGCAAACGTTTCACAATGGACCGACGCTCTTCCACTCGTCTTACTAGGTATCCGCAATGCAGTGAAAGCTGACATTGGATACACTGCGGCTCAACTCGTTTATGGAACGACACTTCGACTTCCAGGAGAATTCGTGGATCCTTCGTGCTCTTCGATGAACATGGATCTAACCTCCTACACGAACAGGCTTACAAACGCAATGCGTTCAGTTAAACCTGCTTCCACTCGACCTCAATCAACTGATGTTTTCGTTCAACCTGACTTACCATATAGTACACACGTTTTCATTCGTCGAGACTCGCATCGACGACCATTCGAATCAGCATACGAAGGACCCTTCAAAGTTCTTCAACGTGAATCTAAGTACTATATAGTCGATAAGAACGGAACCAACGATAGCATCAGCATCGATCGCTTAAAAGCAGCGTATTTAGAAGGAAATCCTATCCACGTCGATTTTCCTTCGGTACAATCGAACGACACGACTCAGACACTAATAATACCTCATCCGACAACCAACACACACGAAGATACTTCGACAGTATCCGAAAATAAACTTAAAACGACGCGTTCTGGAAGAAGGGTGAGATTTCCAGAACATTTAAACGACTATTGCACGTAAGGCACTTCTCGACATTTTATATTATTTTTTTTTTGAAAAAAAAAAAATTTTAATATGCTTATATATTTTTATTTCTATTAAAAAAAACAAAAAAAAAACAATTTTTTAACGCTATTACGTGCTCATGAGTTTATTTTCCATTTTTTTTCCGCCGACCTTGTGTTTTTACGCATATACGAGTGTATTTTCGACATGCACTTACATTTTCTTTTTTCTTTTCCAGGACGGCTGGAAAAGAACGATGACGTTTATGAGGATCCGAAATTTTCATTGTACATTTTCTTTTTTTACTATGTTGTACCTCCGTCCCATATAGTAAGGAAAGACGACCAGACGCTGCTAAATTTAGTAAGCTATCAGAAGAGTGTTTACCAACGACAAACTCGTTGGGTTTAAACTTCTGGCTGGCCACGTCTTAGGGTCGTCACTGCCCCACTAGGGGGGGAGTGATCTGTAGCGGTAAATAAATCCCTAAAATAAATAGCTCTGTAAGTTTTCGACATTGGATGCTGACCATATGTTTTAGTGGACTCATCTAGCTGAAGGCGCTCGGTCAGGCATCCGCACCAGATCACGTGTAGTAACGCCGTGCTCAACATCAACCACAATCGCTAGCCAGATTAGATCAGAGAATCCCGGTATATTGGTCATCGCCAAATATACTCTTCCGATCTCCTCGACTCTGTCTTTTGATTTCTCTTGGTGGGAACGAAATATCTTAGAAGGTGTTACTGGTAGAAGCGTTGTCAAACACTGAATACCTGTGACACCATCAATAGTAACCCTAAAATAAATAGCTCTGTAAGTTTTCGACATTGGATGCTGACCATATGTTTTAGTGGACTCATCTAGCTGAAGGCGCTCGGTCAGGCATCCGCACCAGATCACGTGTAGTAACGCCGTGCTCAACATCAACCACAATCGCTAGCCAGATTAGATCAGAGAATCCCGGTATATTGGTCATCGCCAAATATACTCTTCCGATCTCCTCGACTCTGTCTTTTGATTTCTCTTGGTGGGAACGAAATATCTTAGAAGGTGTTACTGGTAGAAGCGTTGTCAAACACTGAATACCTGTGACATCATCATTGGTGAGACCGTCGTGATCTGGTACACCTTATTGCAACTGTGAGTCTGTTCCTTTTTGGGATTTTTATATATCATTGCCTTATTTTTTATTTTTTTTAAACATTGTGATTTTTTTTCGTGTTTTTCTTGGATATATATATATATTTTCCCCTCGTTCATTATCGTACTTCATATTTCATCATGACTGAACAGACACCTAAAGTACTCAAGCTTAAGACCTTGTCCCCACCTTCGTTTCAACTGATGCCTTTCTGGCCCGACAACATCGAAGCCTGGTTTTGCTACGCAGAAGCCGACTTTTCCGAGCACGGCGTGATCGACACACGTGCACAATTCCTCGCAGTAGTCAAGGCACTACCGCGCGAATTCAACAGGTACGTAACACCTAGTATGTTTACTAGTGATGTTTCCGATCCTTACGAAATCTTAAAACGCTCGATTCTTAAACGAGGAGACCTAACCGATCGACAAAGGTTAGATCAACTCTTCAACAATATCGACCTGCAACACGGTTCTGCGACGGACATGTTGCAACGGATGAGAGAGGTTATAGGCCCAAGAACTTTCGACGAAGGTCTATTCAAACAACTCTTCTTGTCAAAACTTCCCCAACAGGTGCAAGCAGTTCTGGTCTCGTTCCAGAACAACGCCTTAGACGAACTAGCTGTATCTGCCGACCGCATTCTAGAAATTACGAAACCTTCTACTACCGAGGTATTTTCAGTCAAAGAAAAGCCTCACACGACTCAGAATGACATAACCGACTTATGTCACACACTCACGCGTTATCTTAGTCTTCGTACCGACCGTAAGAGATCGCGCACACCACGTAGAAGCATTTCTCGTAAGCGATCTGTCTCTAGACCACGAGAGACAGATAACCCCGACTGGTGCTGGTATCATAACCAGTATGGAAAGTTTTCCAGAAATTGCAGAAAACCCTGCAATTTTCCCAACACGAAACCGACTGATTCGAAAAACAATTCGGGAAACTTCCAAGCCGGCACGCGTTAACGGCAACCGTAGCCGGCGAACAAAGCCGTCTGTTATTCGTCACAGATGTGACAACGAGAGTTCGCTACCTCGTCGACACTGGCGCAGAAGTTAGCGTTCTCCCAGCAAATCCTAACGACCGACTTCACGAATCGACCCTAAACTTACAGGCGGCAAACGGAAAACCGATCGCTACGTATGGCAAAAGGTACGTTTACCTTAACGTGGGTTTACGCAAACCCATCCACTGGATTTTCGTCGTTGCAGATGTTTCTATGCCAATCATTGGTATGGACCTTCTACAACACCACAATCTGATCATCGACACTCGCAAACGGAGGCTAGTAGACGGAAACACTAATTTGTCCGTTTGCGTAACTTCTTTTACTGGTTGTAGAGTATCCCCAGTCACAGTTAAACATATGATAGACCCACTCTATCAACCACTACTCGATAAGTACCCTGGGATACAACAAACTCAACCGAAACTACCGTGTGTAACCAGCAATGTTACACATCACATCACGACTACAGGACCACCTGTATTCTCTAAAGCACGACGACTAGCTCCTGAAAAGCTAAGGTTAGCGAAAAACGAATTCGATCACATGATGGACTTAGGAATCATACGACCGTCAAGTAGCCCATATGCATCTCCGTTGCACATGGTCCCTAAAAAGGACAGCAACGATTGGCGTCCAACTGGTGACTATCGGCGATTGAACGCGAAAACCATTCCCGATCGTTACCCGTTGCCTCACATTCACGATTTGACAGCTACCTTGAAAGGTACAACTGTCTTTTCGAAAATCGACTTGGTTAAAGCGTATAACCAAATCCCTATGGCCACTGACGACATACCGAAAACAGCTATCATAACTCCCTTCGGACTCTATGAATTTTTGCGAATGCCTTTCGGTCTAAGGAATGCTGCTCAAACATTCCAAAGATTCATAGACGACGTTTTTCGAGGTCTCAACTTCGTACACGCGTATGTTGACGACTGTCTAATCGCAAGTCCGGACAGAGAAACACATCTCAAGCATCTGGACCTTGTTTTCGAACGATTACAAAAACATGGCATAACTGTAAACGTTCAGAAATGCCAATTTGGAACCGACTCGTTAGACTTTCTGGGACACACTATCGATGCTCAAGGTATCCGACCCCTTAGAACCAAAGTGGCGGCCATTCTGGATTACCCAGAACCGACCACCGTCAAGCAATTACGCACGTTCAACGGCCTGGTAAGTTTCTATAGACGTTTCATACCCAGATGCGCATCACTTATGAAACCTCTGACCGACCAACTTCGTGGAAATGCGAAATCCATTAATTTGGACGACACCGCACGAAAAGCATTCTCCACAGTCAAGGAACTGATTGCTAAAGCAACAATGCTCGCACATCAGGACACCCGAGCACCCATTAGCATCGCAGTAGACGCATCCGACTCAGCAATCGGAGGAGTCTTACAACAATGGGTTAACAACTCCTGGCAACCCTTGGCATTTTTCTCTAGAAGGTTGCTAGACACCGAATCGAGGTACAGCACATTCGGTAGGGAACTCCTAGCTATGTATTGTGCTGTACGGCATTTCCAACACTATATCGAAGGCCGTGAATTCACTCTTTTCACGGACCATAAACCGCTCACTTTCTCGTTAAGCTCTCCTTCTGACAAGTACTCTCCCCGTGAGTCTCGACAACTGGACTACATTTCGCAGTTTACTTCAGATATTCAACACATCTCTGGAGCAAACAATGTAGTTGCAGACGCTTTATCTCGTATAACTTCCTTGAACAGTTTCCAAGGAATCGACCTTCTTAAACTCGCCGAGCTTCAAAAAGAAGACAGTGATCTTCAGCACGAGTTATCGTCCACAACACTTAAACTACGCATCAAACAGATGGGAACAGGTAAGGAAACCTTACTTTGTGACACATCTACAGGTAGGGATCGCCCAATCGTGCCGAAACATTATCGACGCAATGTCTTCAACACATTGCACAAACTTTCTCATCCAGGTGTTCGTGCAACCATCAAGCTTATAGCAGAACGATTTTGCTGGCCTGGCATGAATAAAGACGTGAGGGAGTGGGCACGCTCCTGTGTAAGCTGCCAAAAATCTAAGGTTATCAGACACAATAAATGTCCCTTAGGCTCGTTTAAAACTCCCGATGCTCGTTTCGACCATGTTCATCTGGATTTGGTAGGACCTTTACCAGATTCAAATGGATACTCTTATCTCTTAACCTGCGTAGACCGTTTCACTCGATGGCCAGAAGCAGTACCTATCAAGGACAGCACTGCTGAAACAGTGGCCCGCACATTCGTCGAACGATGGGTAGCAAACTTCGGTTGCCCTTCAACCATCACTACAGACCGCGGACGTCAGTTTGAATCTGATCTTTTCCGTCGTCTGACCACACTTTTAGGAATCACTCGCTTCCGAACGACCGCCTACCATCCACAAGCAAACGGGTTGGTAGAACGTTTTCACCGACAACTGAAAGCTTCGCTATCAGCTGCAAACGTTTCACAATGGACCGACGCTCTTCCACTCGTCTTACTAGGTATCCGCAATGCAGTGAAAGCTGACATTGGATACACTGCGGCTCAACTCGTTTATGGAACGACACTTCGACTTCCAGGAGAATTCGTGGATCCTTCGTGCTCTTCGATGAACATGGATCTAACCTCCTACACGAACAGGCTTACAAACGCAATGCGTTCAGTTAAACCTGCTTCCACTCGACCTCAATCAACTGATGTTTTCGTTCAACCTGACTTACCATATAGTACACACGTTTTCATTCGTCGAGACTCGCATCGACGACCATTCGAATCAGCATACGAAGGACCCTTCAAAGTTCTTCAACGTGAATCTAAGTACTATATAGTCGATAAGAACGGAACCAACGATAGCATCAGCATCGATCGCTTAAAAGCAGCGTATTTAGAAGGAAATCCTATCCACGTCGATTTTCCTTCGGTACAATCGAACGACACGACTCAGACACTAATAATACCTCATCCGACAACCAACACACACGAAGATACTTCGACAGTATCCGAAAATAAACTTAAAACGACGCGTTCTGGAAGAAGGGTGAGATTTCCAGAACATTTAAACGACTATTGCACGTAAGGCACTTCTCGACATTTTATATTATTTTTTTTTTGAAAAAAAAAAAATTTTAATATGCTTATATATTTTTATTTCTATTAAAAAAAACAAAAAAAAACAATTTTTTAACGCTATTACGTGCTCATGAGTTTATTTTCCATTTTTTTTCCGCCGACCTTGTGTTTTTACGCATATACGAGTGTATTTTCGACATGCACTTACATTTTCTTTTTTCTTTTCCAGGACGGCTGGAAAAGAACGATGACGTTTATGAGGATCCGAAATTTTCATTGTACATTTTCTTTTTTTTACTATGTTGTACCTCCGTCCCATATAGTAAGGAAAGACGACCAGACGCTGCTAAATTTAGTAAGCTATCAGAAGAGTGTTTACCAACGACAAACTCGTTGGGTTTAAACTTCTGGCTGGCCACGTCTTAGGGTCGTCACTGCCCCACTAGGGGGGGAGTGATCTGTAGCGGTAAATAAATCCCTAAAATAAATAGCTCTGTAAGTTTTCGACATTGGATGCTGACCATATGTTTTAGTGGACTCATCTAGCTGAAGGCGCTCGGTCAGGCATCCGCACCAGATCACGTGTAGTAACGCCGTGCTCAACATCAACCACAATCGCTAGCCAGATTAGATCAGAGAATCCCGGTATATTGGTCATCGCCAAATATACTCTTCCGATCTCCTCGACTCTGTCTTTTGATTTCTCTTGGTGGGAACGAAATATCTTAGAAGGTGTTACTGGTAGAAGCGTTGTCAAACACTGAATACCTGTGACACCATCAATAGTAACAGTTGCAAGCAAACCAAAAAGAGAAACAATTATGCAAAATTACGATAACTGTAGGAGCGAGAACACATGTAACGGCTCAAAAAGGAAATATTCATGAGGAAAAAAACACATGGAGAGATTTGCTTACGAGAAATATCAAAATGGATTGCGCAACAGTATTTGAACTCGTCACTCATACGACATCATATCGTATCGATTTTCACTTCCAAATATCAGGTTGTCAAGACTTTATAACTTGTGTAATTGTATAATGCCACTAAATGCTTTCATTTTCAGAATAAGTCAGTTTTATGTATTTACTTAAGTTTTGGTCCACTATTTTAAATGCTTCTGAATCTTGGAGGAAAGCTGCTCCGGACGTTTAAAACTATCGAACGACGTACTTACAAACTAGGTGTAAGTTTGTCAGAAGCTAATCAGTTTACTGACATTTTTTAGTCCAGTTAGAATCTTCATGATACCAAATATCCTAGAGATTATTAAAACCTATTTGGGTTACCGTCTATACAACTAAAACGTAGGCTTTCAAACTGATACCGACTGGTGAGTGTACCATGAAATATATTTTTCACCATGATAGGTTGGGGTTCATGCCAGCAAGTAAAATCACAAATTAAACAAGAAGCAGAATCAAGTGACAAACATAAAACTGGAAGGTATTCCACAGACAAAACACAATGGATAACGACGAAACTAGCACTACACATAAAATAATGTTATTTTTAAGAGTCCTCGCTTCTCCGTTAGAGGACAGATTAATAAATGTCGAATCGTCTGATATGAATTAATAAGGTCAAGAAAGGCTAACAGGGATTGGTAAACAACCGAAGACTGCAACAGATAGTTCGTCGAAGGAATTTTGCTGCTCCTTTTGTTTCGCATCCAACTAAACCATTTACATGGTAAGATTTTGTTTGTTCTACAAGAATGCAACAGAAGCATCATTACCTAACTCCACGTTGGGGTGGTCATCTATTAGTGACTTCAACGTCAGTTGGGCTGTCGCATTACCCCACTTTAACTCCGGCAGACTAAAAAGACTAAACGAGAAACAGGGAGACTATTAATGCTCCAACAAGAAACAAAAATCCTTTATTGGAAACGACAAAATACTTATTGTTGAGTGCGAGCTTATAAGCAAATACACTACAGTTAAGTATATTTTAATATGAGTCGTTAAAATGATTAAAGCGATGCAATATTGTCCTTGGATTATGAAAAGCATTTAAGTTTTATGTTATGATACATAGACCTTGCTTTGTTTGTTTGGATGTTTATGATGTAAAGTATTTGTAATTTTACGCTACCCATTGGTTTGTATCGATTTGCTCTCGTGCCATCGTTGTCGGTTGTCGATCCCATTTATTATAAATGTGAGTATATTTCTAGAGCATAGCGTACTTCTAGGCTAGACATGGCGAGAATATAATTTATGGACAAACTAATTAGATTTACGATAAGAGGTCTTGGATTTCGGCACGAAATTCTTTGAGCATTTGGCATTTTAACTGATGTCAGTTCTTAATGAAAACCGTCAATCTAGTTTTTGTCCTTAACCATCAACTGTAAATCACAATCCTTATCTTTCACACTGGTTTAAATGCCTGATTTAGTCCTAGTCGTTAGGTGGGCATTCTCAATTGGCCTTAAGGCCACTCAAAGGTCGTTCATAAATTAGCCTCACCGCCTTTCCCCTTTTTTCGCTGAATTTTTAACAAATTGTCTTTGCCCAATTTACAGTGGATTGTCTGCTCCTCACATACATTTATTACACACTACCTACCTTAATTTTACGCTTATGCAGATCGTCTACTCATTCCAACTTTCTCCAAGCTCATACAAAATTATCTGTTTCCGGCTTATATGTCTCTCGTGCTGTCCTCTGTATCTGTCAGGAAACAATCTTTTCTACTCAGTGGACTTAGTTTAGAAATATTGTACGTGATTAATGACGCTTATATACTGGAAATCAAATTATAGCTTACAAGGATGCAAGTTACCACCTAATCTCCATATTTTGGGGTTTTCCACAAATTCGTGAAAAGTTTGGCAGTTTCCCCAATGTTTCAAGAGATTCTCGGGAACAACCCGAAAGTGTTATAATATTCTGGGCAAATATTTGGGGAAACCCAAACATTTTGTGGTTTTCTTGCCATTTCCCTAGAATTTTCTACTGCAATTTTGTCTAAATTTGCCAAAAGCGGAGATTTTTCACAAAATAGGGAGATTGAGTAGGTGCCTGATACACCTTGTAAGTACCGAGATCTGGAAAAATGTTAATGGCAGTTAGTGCATTATTTATCAGTAATTTGTCCTAATTTTAAATGTCATACAAACGAACTACATGTCTAATTGTCCCAACGTCTCACATGTAAGTGAAATAGATATATACATAATTGATGGTTTATTAGAAAATTATGATTGCAATATATTTAATTTCAACGCCAGTATCACCCAACTGGTACATTAACGTTGTTATTCGGACGCATGGTAACCGTCCTCTGAGTTCCGAATTTTGATAGCAATCATGGTTGTAGAGTCCCAACCCTTATATTAATGTCACACTTCAATATATTTTTATCACTAACAACTGATAAAATAAAGTCAAACCGTACAGTAATGTTTGTTAACACAACACTACACCTAGAGGATAGCAGTAGGTTGTCATTTCAAATTATAACTTACACTACCTTTCCTCCTTCAACGACGCTTTTGAAGTTTATCACTCATTTCGCGCCATAACGTTTGCTTTACGATCAAGAATAAAAAAGCCAGCTTTGTTTCGTATGCCGCCGTAAAGTTTACACTTCTGAAGGGCTGTTCTAGCTTTAGTGCCAAGTAATATAAAGTGGCTGTCTACCTCGGGTTTCATAACAAGATTTGGCGCATGGAAGTTATGCGGTTATTATCCGGCAATCGCAACACCATCGCCCCCAAGCTCTCAACTTTGGGGTATTTTGGGGAAACCCGCAAAGTCAAGTGACCTTTACCAAGGTTAAAGGGGAATTATTGGGAAATTTCCTCAGGTCTGGGGAAATTTCGGGGTTTTAGTGCCATTTCCCCAAAGTTTACTGTAGCGGCTTCCCCGAAATTGGGAACTCGAGCCTTGGTAATGTTAGATAATGATAAAAATATTAGTGAACCTACAAATTTGTTCCTCGCGCTTTTCTGAAGACATGGATTCATGGTCTTCACTTCTGGTTGAGGGAAGAAAATACTAACTTAATAATCCAATACTGAATCTGTATGGATTATTACGTGCATCAGACTTAGACCGTTACACTCAAGCCTAGTTTTGCTGGTGCCATGTTATGCAAAGCAGTGTGTAGTTTCACAATTCTAGAACTGGTTTAAATTGAAAATACTACTTAGCTGCGATCCTACTGTCAACAGTTGCTGACGCGTAAGTTGAAGGCGACTTTCGTTGAACTTATACGTTGACAGATATGACGTACCAATTTTGCATTCAGTGGTATTTGTGTGTCCAACGACCTGACACCCGATTATTGGACGCAACTGTTTCCAGCCTGTATTTCAGCAATATCTCTATCAACGAAATTTTGCAGGTAATCTTGTTTCCGTTTCTGTCTCTGCAAAACATTGACATGATTATTGTAGCCGGAGAATTTTCTGGACGATATCATTAAGTCCTTGGCGGTCTGTACGCCGTCTATAAAAAACACATGTATGTTTGTTACCACAGTAGTGATTAACCTCAGTCTTAGTGATCGACCACTCGTCATATAGTTGAGCACCGTTGTTCATGTCCATATCCATCGAGTTAGCAGGATACATGGATAGTTCGTTACTGATAAGCCACTTGATTACTATATTAACTACCTAATTTTGACAGTTGCAGACTGTAGTCGTAGGCCTATGAATATTTCAAATTCTCCTTCTAGTTCAAATTAATGTGTGGGTAAGCAAGATGAAAATTTACTACCGTAAATATGGAAAATTCACCTAGGTCAATTAAAGATTTACATTCTAGTAATCCGTTATCCTCATTATCAGTAAGTAGTCTGGGTTTATTGGGGACCTGCTTTTGTATAGAAAGTTATTCTAGTGCAAACAAGCCGAGATTTTTCAACCTCTTCTTCATTGATAAAGAGGTTTCAGATTAATTTGGGAGTCTATAGACTAAACCTAACCTCCATGTGTATAAGGCTTCCATATTGTTAAGGTTTGTTTTCCGCTGTTTTTATTAGTATAATGTAACAGTTACAAATGTCAGTATGATTATTTTATTTTCCAGTGTAATCATGGAATCCTTAAAAATGAATGATGGTCGTTCTATTCCAGTCATTGGTCTCGGAACATGGAATGTTCGCAAGAAAATTTTTTTAGTATTATACACTTTGTAGAGTCCACCAGGTGAAGTTGGAGCGGCCGTGAAGAAAGCTTTAGAAGTCGGTTATCGACATGTGGACTGTGCTCATGTTTACAGAAATGAAGCAGAAATAGGTGAAGCACTGGAAAGTGCATTAAAGAGTCTAAAATTAAACAGAGACGATGTTTTTGTTACTTCAAAGGCAATTATTCATTTAATGTTATTTAAATTATTTCTAGCTGTGGAATACTTTCTTCCGCCCTGAGCATGTCAGGAAAGCCTGCGAAGAAACTTTAAAGAATTTGCGTCTTAAATATCTTGATTTGTACTTAATTCACTGGCCTGTTCCATTCCAAGTAAAGTTTGTGCAATTTCTTGACCTTATTTTATAGTATGGTGAATCTCTTTTTCCCACTGATTCGAACGGAAATTTCTGTTTAGATGAAGTACCACATGAAGAAACTTGGAAGGTTTGTTGGTACTAAAAATTCATGTATTTTTACTTTGTTTCACTGGGTAGTGTAACGCTAACTGCATAATCACAGTGTTAGTATTAGTGTATGCTCGTTTTTTGCTGTGGGCTGTCAAATTTCTTTCTTGTAGTGCCTGAATTGTATACTGATTCACTTAGTCTCTATATTTTAGTAACTTTGGTGAAGTGCTTTAACGTGGACTCCATTTCTGAAAAGAAGTCTCACCATGTTCCCTATTCCTCACTTAAAGAAAGTTTTTGGTAGAATTTCACTACACGTTTGCTTCATAATGTTACTTCGAACGTTTATAACTTTTAGTTGTTTCTTCACAGACATACTATTTCTATAAAAATTTGAGAATTACTTGATCTTTGAGATTGTGATTAGTTCACGAGAAATAATATCCCATTAGGTTACAGAAGGTAATCGGAGAATGGACTTATCCTTTTTTGTCTTACTGCCGTCCCAGGGTGAATCTGTACTGCTTTCAGCAGTTGATGTAATGTCGAACTATCTGAATGGATCCTCACGTGTTTCAGATTTTACGTTACCTATAATCCACTAATTAAACGTCAATTATTAACTGATTAACCTATGACTTTCTGAAAGGTTTATGGTAAGTGTAGTCTGCTTTATTGTGCGATTTGTAGTTTGATACTTTATACCGTATGGTTTACTGTAAAATAAATAAATACTCATCGATTGAGTAACTTAGTTCGTAGATTTTGGAGATTTGTGAAAAGTTATTCTTCGGGAGTAATGTAGCATCGAGCGCCGTAAAGTACTCAAGTTTCAAATTATCTGGAAAATTTTGATTTCACGGCTTTTTATTTGGTGAGATCCTTTGTTAGGCGGTTTGTAATAGTGTACTCTCGTTTTAAATGTCTTGCGTACATAAATCTGTAATTTTTAGCAAGTCTTATTTACTTTGAACACCACTGATCCACGTCTCGGGGTTTATCAGGGTATATAATCCTTAAGACTGTGGTATTAAAATATATCGTAAAGGGAAAGTCATGTTTATATCCAATTCGAGAGTTTCTGATAGTTTATTTATCGAAACTAATGAGACAATTTAGCAACGCTTTGACTAAATATCTGTTCCAGTGCTTAGAACATGTTCTTATTCCGTTCTTTTTGGTATACTGTATTTGTGGTACTTTGTGTACTGAATTGGGTGTTTGTTTATTCATCTTTAGTTCATGTGTAATCCGTATCAATTGCTGCTAGTTTGCACTACTTACCTAATATGTTTGTATTGATACTTACGAACATACTTTGTTGCTCTATGCTTTCCTTGGCGGCCTGCCAGGATATCTGGACTACTTGTTCTTGCCATCCAGATATTTCAATAAGTTATCTGTTTTTAGTATCAGAAGGGGTTTTGTGGAGATTGTAGTAATTTCAATAGTTGCGATCATGAGTCAATTGAAGCTAGACCACCGTGGAAAACCTGGAAGCACTGGACGGCCGTTTCGCCCTATTGATATATAATCTCAACTATTGAAATTGTTTGTTTTAACACATCATTATGTCTATAAATTGCATAAGATATTCAGTTACATAAAAGCCCAATCAGAGACACCGTAGTTGCTGGCAATATACAGCGAAAATAATGTGCATTATTCAGATGTCGATTCCTGGACTGCTAACTTCTGACTGGCGATCACTCAATATTTAACGTCAGGATCGACCAAGAAGTAGGGAATGGAAACTTGTTGAAATACTTTGTGCTGAGAATTCTATATTATGCCAAGAATATGATACTAAGTAAAGCCATTAATAATAATAATGCTTAAACGATATTTCACTAGGTCGTATTTAATAAGTTAGTTTCCTACGACAAAACACTAGTTAGGCATCATATGAAATGTAAGTATCTTTTCTGAACGGTTGTGAATTGTAACTTTTCAAGCCTAATTTTTACATAACCTGCCTTCATGTCTAAAAAGCGACCTATGGCTGAAACTCAAACCAGTTTGATGCATTAAAATACATGTATACACTTGTCTCTATTTATTCAAGGAAATGGAAAAACTGGTTGATGATGGTTTAGTCAGATCTATTGGTATATCAAATTTCAACAAACGTCAGATTGAAAATATTCTTAAACATTGCCGTATTAAACCATCCAATTTACAAATTGAAATTCATGCTAATTTTCCTAACACACAATTAGTTGAATATGCGCAGTCGATTGGTTTAACTGTAACTGCTTATGCTCCGCTTGGGTCACCTGCTGCTTCACCGTGAGTTGATTGTCTTTTTTTAATCATGCCTAATGTTAAGTCTAAATGTTTTTCTTCCTTATTTGATCTTATAATATTTACGTAGCATGGAATTTCTTTATTTCAGTTTATGAATATTAGTACAAGGGGGAACGGAATACATATGCGCCGCATAATAACAATGAGGTTGTGAAGAGATAGAGAATGTAAAGTGCGTATAATAAAAAGAACAACGAATAGAAATTAGTGTATGAGAGTGAAGTAATAATAATAATAATAATAATAATAATAATAATTGGAAAAACAGTTCATTTGGGAGATGTTACGTTCTTTTTTATGAAGAAAGTGGAGGAAAGTCACAACAAGATCGCCACTAGCTTCTATTCTGAGCCGTGTCTGACAACGTCTCTAGTCACCATCACTAGGACCCTGACCCGGGGGTCGTGAAGGATCAGCATAAGCAAGTCCTTCACAGCTTTCTTTCATACACCAACCAGCTCCGCCTTTTCCAACCGGCCTCAGCGTCAGCAAATAGTGCACGATGTGGAATTCTCTGGGACGACACTCGTAGAACATATCCAAGCCACCGAAGTCGATGTTTTAAGATAGTGACGCCAATTGAATTATCGTCTCTGTGTCCGAACACACGATGCCGTACCTCTGCATTACTGACATGGTGTTGCCACTGGATATCAGCAATCAGTCAGTCAGCTACAACGTAGAACCAAGCACATACATGCATCGGTCCAAGTTGCCATACCTCAGTCATTAGCACAACAAGATGAACACCGGATTCATAGAAGTATTTAATTCAGTGGTTGTAATATATAAAAGAAAGATTGCATATAAGGACATAGTAAAGGAAAAAAGAATTAGTTCGTAGAAAGAAAGATGTAAAGTGATTTTAATCTCATAGTTTAAAGGAAGATAGAGTGTACACACCTACACCATTGTGATCGATTCTGAGTCATGTCACGCACAGTCTCCAACCATTGGTTACGATATTCAAGCGGACCTCAATCGAGTAGTCTGCATCTACCAACATGGCTCAGACTATAAGTTAGTGACTTCAAGCACTGATACCGCGTTTTGGTTTGGCCGCCCCTAACAATCTTAGCAATTATTCGAACGCAACTCTGACCAAACACAGAGTTGTCTGACATCCTCAACTTCAAGAGATCAGGTCTCACAATCACAAAGCAAAACTATTCTCACCGACTCGTTGTACATCCGACCTTTTACAGCCAGACTAATATCACGGTGCCAAAGATGGTCGAGGTTGTCGTAAACCGCTCTGGCTCCCACTGTACATGAATTGATCTGATAACTGACTCCAACACCAGTACTTACGCAGCTACCAAGATACACGAATTTCTACTCATTACGGAGAGTTCAGGTTCAGGTTCCTGTCAGTCTTGTGAAAGTACCTTGCACTTAGTGCGAAGCACATACCATATCTACAGACACTAATTGCCAACTGATTAAGTGCGGATTGCATGGCTTGTGTATTATCGCACAGTAAGACAATATCATCCGCATACTCAAGGTCGAAAAGTCTTTCTGCAGGCAACAGATCCACACCACCATTACCTATATCCTTCAGAGCTGTTCCCAGAACATCATCCATGGCGAATTTGAAGAGAAACGATGCGATTGGGCAACCCTACCTAACCTTCTGAGTTGAGATAGTGGAGCGAGGTGGTTGTATGCCTTCACGTTTCGAAGGCGGCCCTAATATCAAGAAACAATAAAATTGTTGGTTTGTGATACTTATGACTTCTAACATTTGATGATCAATACATCCTTGACCAAAACCAAAATCAGCCTGCTCCTCGTGAGTCAATCATTCTAGGATTTTGAACAATCTACGAAGTATGACGGAAGCCAATAATTTTAACACTATCCAAAGTAGACTTATCCCCCGATCATTGTTGCAGAAACGACATAAACCCTTTTTAAAGATAGGGACAACTATCAACTTATTCCATGATGTTGGAACACTGATTGCCAGACCTTTGTAAATAAATCAGTTCCATAACCGAAAAGTCGCCACTATCTTTAAGAACGGCTCGGGTAAGTCATTTGAGCCTGGTGATTTGTAGCGCTTCAAGAGTTATAGTTCCGCCTCGTTAGGTGGATCAGTTCTCACAGCCCATGGCTCGGATCAATTGAAAGAGCTTCCGGCAGTTACCAGATGCGGCTGCTGCTTCCAACTCATTGGCGTGCTCTGACCTCCAGGCTTCTCGGTACTTACGCAAGCTTTGCCCGATTTCATTGCGTAACAATTGCTGTTTGTGGTCAAACTCATGGTCACTCAAATGGGCTTCAATGGTTTGTAAGGAGCCAGAGGAAACCCAGTGCTTACAAGCGGGACGTTACGCGAAGCGTCAAGCAACCTTACCATTTTCATACAACTGCAGCCAATGCTCTTCTATATTTTTCGGTGGGATGACAGTTAGCCTTAAACCTAGCTTGGTTTGATATTGAGCTGCAACCAATTTACTGACATCGTTCGGTTTAGGACGATGAATTTGTAGGCCACTGAAAAGCAAGGTAAGACTAGCTCAAAAACAAGAGGATGATCACACAGCATATATCTCACAACACATAGCTGACTGTTAATGGAGATCCGATCGGTCAGTGCTGCCTCAGCTCTAGCGCTTAGTGCGATACCAAAGCCAGCAAGTCCAGATAAAGTTATCACAAGGTCCTCGGATAAACGCTTTTTGAAGCAACAGATTGAGAGCGAATCTGTAGTACTTCATTAGAGTCCTGTATACGGGTCTCGAATAGACAACAGACATCGGTGTTGAGACTTTTTAAAACATAACCGACCCTCTTTGTTGTCCGACCTACATTAACGTGCAAACGTTGAAGGTGACCAGTTTGGATGGTACTCGTGTTTTCAGAAAGACCGTTTCAGTATTCGTAATCAGTTTTAACATTCAACTTCCGACCAGTCAGTGACTTGAGATCGTTTAGATAGGAAAGGTTTTCCACCGTAGGCGATCTGCTGTATAAGTTGAAAAATAAGATACATAAGTGGAGTGGTATCAAAGAAATAAAAACGAATGTTACCAAATGATTGTGAATAAGATTTTTCTGAGAGAGCATTGAAGCATGTTATTTTTCCAGTAGTAGTCATCATTGATTTGTGTGCGGGCTGGATCACTGCCCAGGCGGCCAAACCGAGACAGGTGCTTTTCATAGAGGGCTACGCCCTGAGCCTTTGACCTAAAGTTCTAATCCACAAGACAGTTGAACAACGTTGGAATATGCAGTTCCATGGTAGCCGGTGACCAACAATAGGTTCATACGTCTTTTGTTTCGTCAGGATCCTGGAGTCAATATGGACCATTGGTTTGGAACCAAGGTTTTCCAACTCCTAGGTGAATCCTCGATACCTACCAACGAAAGCGCCAGACATTCTCATTTCGTCCTCTCAATTCCATAAGCCACACCCTCGCTGCCAGATTGCAGTGAGTAGGACTTCCCTGTCAGTGGCTGTATATGCGTGGTCATGTGAAAGCATTTCGAGAGGAGAGGAGACTCTCTCCATCCTCCGCCGTACCAGGGCATTTTGGGACACGTATTTTCTTTAATCTTATGTATTTGCTCACTCTATCCATCCTTGTTTTGTGATGTGCTAAAATATGATTTTCTATTTTCTAGAGGAAGAGTTGATTTACTCATGGAACCTTGGGTTTTACAAATCGCTAAACATCACGGTAAAACACCGGCCCAAGTTCTCTTGCGTTATTTAATTCAAAGAAACTTGATAGTGGTTCCAAAGTCCGTAACACCAAAACGAATTGAAGAAAACTTTCGGGTATGATAGTCTATGTAGATGTAATTGTTCTATTTGATTATTATTATTATGAAATCTCTCCTCAAACTCACATTTATTGAATGTTCTAAACATAAGCCTGTATCTGTAAGTGTTTAGCTTTTATGATTTGAATAAATGGAATATAAGTTGACTGGTTTTCTGATATTTTTAGAGACAATATACAATAAATTTGTCAATTAACGGTTTTGGTCATCTCCACCTACTTTTAAACTCATGTTTCATGTGAACTGAGTAGCTAACATTTCTAGCATCAATCAAATTATAACTGTGCTGTTTCATTTTGTTATAAATTTCTTTTCTTACGGTTATGACCCAGCTATTCCTATTGCTTAGTATTCTCGGACACCGATTCACTCGACAAGTCCCCAAATCAGAACACGGTTGAACAGGAAAGAGATTATATTCCAAATAGCAAGTCAGAAGCACAATAGAGAAAACGTCAGTATATTTATAGTTTTTTACATGAGAAGATTCCAGAGTATTCTCCAACTATTGACTAGTGCTGATTGGATAAGAATTAGCCAATCAGCGTGCACCAAAGCAATCGTGAATTGAGCGTGCTTTAATCCGGTCTATGTCCCGCTAACACCTCCCCTTTGAGCAGATTCGTAGGATCTGGTGCTAGGGTCCAACTGCAACCGAGTGACTGGCCTGTGCTTTCGATTAGTCCATCGTCTAGGCAATAGAGAAGTATCACTCTTTTCTTGCACTGAGACTGACATGTCTGTTCCCGGCGTTTTGATTTTTCTTAAAAAAAAGCATGCATAACTTCTAATTCTCCAACATTCTCCTCCTCCGCGAAACAATGTCGGATCCTTATATCTCCAAGTTACAAATAATAGGACTTTATTTAAACGATGTTTCTCGCATTGAATGTCGGATCCACTAGGAACGACTAGATGATAACGAACGAACTTTGATTTGAGGTCAGAGTTTAATTCTTCTGAAGCATTACTTTCAAATCCATTAGGAATTTCATCAGTGGATAATGGACCATTACGGAAATCAACATCTAACAAAATTAAATTAGACTTTTGACCATAATTTGACTCAGCCGACATATCTTCCTCACTTTTATAAGAAATTTCATCAAAATTACATGCATTATTCTGAGAACCCATATCTGATACATTGTCATTAGAAATCGGATAAGCTGATTCAATATAAGTTTCTGTCTCACAATGATTTTGAGTAACATTCGGTATAATTGGGTTCATCGTGTCACTGCAGTTGTTTTCTGAATACGAGTCCCCATAGCTTTCTCGGCTGATATCACGTGGACCATAATTTTGTTCTAGCTGAAATTTATTTTCAGAGCTAGACAGGACCAGTAGTGTTTCATTCAATTCTGGACTCCGGGCTTCATCTATAGGTCTGGCTCTTGATCATCTCGTATTGCCACAACTTTATGAGCATTCAGCACAGTATTTTCTTGCTGTGAGCCGGACACGTTACAAATATTACGTTCTGATTCAGGTATAAAGGGATTTGAACCCTCCACTGGATATGCTTCTGAAATGTCTGTTACTGCATCATAATAAGATTTCTTATTTTCTGGTCGAGTGAAAAGTGTGCTCAATAGTTGTTGTTGCAAGGCTAACAACTTCTGCTGGTGCTGTAATATTAACCGCAACTGTTCTAAAGAAATCGCCATTTTTCTTTAGTTTTTCCCCGTCGCCACTGTTATAATCTCTTTCTTCTTACGGTTATGACCCAGCTATTCCTATTGCTTAGTATTCTCGGACACCGATTCACTCGACAAGTCCCCAAATCAGAACACGGTTGAACAGGAAAGAGATTATATTCCAAATAGCAAGTCAGAAGCACAATAGAGAAAACGTCAGTATATTTATAGTTTTTTACATGAGAAGATTCCAGAGTATTCTCCAACTATCGACTAGTGCTGATTGGATAAGAATTAGCCAATCAGCGTGCACCAAAGCAATCGTGAATTGAGCGTGCTTTAATCCGGTCTATGTCCCGCTAACACATTTTGATTCACGAATTAGATGATCTTTCAGGTTAGGCTACATTCATGATTGTAATAATTGTGAGGATTTTTGTACTGAGCATTGAGATAGTGTTGTTCCATTTCCAAAGACTAACAATTTGAAATCTAGTAACATAATAGTTACAATTATACCATCAATTATTTTTGTCGCGATTCAGTTCATTTTAATGACCACACTTTACTTCCCAATAGTATTTGGAGTTTTTCTGTATTTACTACTGTGTTTTGATGAAATAAATTCTTCAAAGATTTTCACGTATTAAATTCTCATTTTCGAACTTATCTCAGAGAACGTGATTTTTGTATAAAGTCGCTATTCTATTCAATGATAATCCGGTTCATTTATCAGTGTTATTGTTATATACCTGTTCATTTATGATCTAATGACAATACAGTGGTCTTGAGTGCCGTTAGAGGTATGAGGGCGGTTATCACTTCCTGGTTGCCCACACCGTGGAAGAGTTCTTTTGGAGGTACCTGAAAAGGAAATTGGATTAGAGGTGGTCTTAGTGACCTGAGAGTGTGACCGCAGTGCCCAAGGGACAACTGCTTGAGGCCTATCACACACGACCTTTTTGTGCGTAATTTTCGTGTTCGCTCCATATTTGTTGAGACCTTACCAATGGAGACGGATATCCATGGGATAAGGCGAGGTGTGTATTTTTAGGGCCAACCTTTTGCTAACCCCACCCATCGTGGGCAGGTAGCATCAGTGTCATGCTAGTTGCCCGAAGGAAACACCTTACTGCTACCACACCTCTGTACAGTCAGCAGCACGACCTCGCTCTCGAACTTTGGATTTGCTGCTTTTAGTCTTACCGTTCTTCAACCGACCTGTCTGTCATGGTAAGATCTTGAGGAACGCTTGTTCTAGCCAGTATAGCCCGATTGGTTCACCACGATAGGCAAGCCGGACCACCACGTCAAGGTAGCAACAACGGTCGGGAAATGACAATACTATTTGGATTCTTTAAATAAAAGAGACAATTTGACTGAATATGTAACTTAATTGTTCATAAATCAAGTGACTAAGTTGTTGAAGCTTACTCAAACATCTTAATATGTAGTGTAGTTTGTTCTTTTTACTGTTTGGATAGATTAATAACTTTCTTCATTTTGTTATTCATTGAAGGTATTTGATTTCCAACTTTCGAAGGAGGAAATGCATGAATTAAATACGAAAGGTTTAAATGAACGTCAATTCAAATTGTTGAAGTAAGTTCATGTTGCTGGCATTCAAATAGTTTTAAAACTTCATATTTTAAAATTTAAATTTAGATTATTTTTAGTCGTTGTTGTCAGTAAATTTGTTATTTACTGCCTGACATCTAAATATTAATTCTGTGCTCTTTATTCAGAAATTATTTCATATCAATACAACTGATTTAGATGGAGTTTTTTTCTGAGCTGGATGGTTTGGTCGTGGAGCTTCCGTCGTTCTTCTGAACGACATCATGAACACAACTTCAGGTGGAAGTGAAGTGTTCGGATTTCTCAACATGTGATTCACAGCTCGTCCTGTAGACCTCGATGTTGATTGATTCTTGTTGACCTTAAACCTGTCATCGTTCACTTCTTTGTTTTGGTTGTATCGCCAATTGGTTTGAATTTCGGTCCTATGTTTGTCCATAATTTTCCTGATAGATTGGATTGATAGATTGGATCGATTTCAATGTGCTTGCTGATTGATCTGAGTGCCAAGTTTCTAAAAATGGACAAACATAGGACCGAAATTCAAACCAATTGGCGATACAACCAAAACAAAGAAGTGAACGATGACAGGTTTAAGGTCAACAAGAATCAATCAACATCGAGGTCTACAGGACGAGCTGTGAATCACATGTTGAGAAATCCGAACACTTCACTTCCACCTGAAGTTGTGTTCATGATGTCGTTCAGAAGAACGACGGAAGCTCCACGACCAAACCATCCAGCTCAGAGAACAAAACCCCACCAAAATCATCCACCTGAGCTTTAAATCTTCTGCTCTATTGCAATGCAACTGATTTTTGTAAAACTAGTTTAGTAAGTGTAGTGTAATGTTTCATTAAATATCGGTTGCTAATTAGTATCTAAGCCACATTGACATTGATACATCTGTCGGTATGTACCTTCAGATCATGGACGATCGTGGCTATCGTTAAAGTTCATTGGGACTGTGTTTAGTGGAACAGATATTATTGTGTCACAGATTCCATTTAGAAAGCTTTAAGACCAATACCAAAGATAATCAGATTCAATAACATCGTTATCTTGATGACCATGGAGATATGGAAGCAGTAGAATGTTCCCACCGAAAATAACATTCACTGGTGTTGTGGTGCGTGCTACTTATATTGATATAAGTAGTATATAACGTGAGTCAAAAGAACGTAATGTCTGGCAGCAGAAGATGGAGAAGATCAAGAAAAGAAGAGCGAGAAAACAATGGAATTTGTAAGAAATCGCATGAACAATGAAATGCGAGACATTAGATATGATAGAATGATATTTTGCAAATTAACGATTTACTATATGGTTTTTCTATTTTACCAAGTAATTCTGTAATTTGTCCTAAATACAATTTGGTTGTCCTCAACCGTGTTCTTCTTCACTACATTTGGTGTCGCTGCCTCCACTAAGGATGAAGATTCCGTGGCCGAAGGAGTTTGAGGACGGAGATGTGCTGAGCTTCCTGAAGGAGTTTGAGGCCGTGGCGGAGCTGGTGGGAGTGAAGGAGCCGAAGGCGAAGTTGGTGGTGCTGGGGACGCTGCTGAGAGGCAGGGCGAAGGCTGTGTATGACAGCTTGGACGGTGCTGGCGAGAAGACGACATGGGAGGCAGTCACGGAGCGGTTGGCGGCGGAGTTTGACAGCCCAGTGGACAGAGAGAACGCGCTGCAGAAGTTCCGGTTGGCGAGGTTGCCGGTCGATGGTGACCCACTGGTGCTGGCTGTGGAGCTTACCAGATTGTTACGCCGTGCACTGCCGAGTCTGGATGAGGAGTCGGAGGCACAGTTGTTGGCGTCACAGTTTATCGAGAGTGTGCCTGCCACCGTCTCCCAACAACTGAAACTGGTGAACGCAGCGCAACCGATGGATATCAGTGAACTGGCGAAGGTGACTCGTCAGCTGATGACGCGAACAGTAGCTCCAGTCGGGTGCGAAAAGCAGGAGATGAGTAATGTCGAGAAGAAGATTGAGGAGCTGGAGCGTGAGATTGCAGCAATACGAGTGAACAATAAAAGGAACGATAAATGTTACGCTTGTGGAGGGACAGGACATTGGAAGTTAAACTGTCCAACAAGACGAAAACGCAGATATGTTAGACGTTACAACGATTGTTCTTTCTATCCTAGGAATCTGGGGATTGTTGCGTTAGTAGACAGAGGGGCAGTATATACGAGAGTGAACATAAATGAGCGAGATTTAGTTTGTCTGATCGATACAGGTGCAGCAGTATCGTTAATAGGCAAAGAGCAATGTAAGAGAATCAAGCCGTGTACATTAGCTGTCCACACGATAGGGGGCCATATGTTAGAGGTGTTTGGCGTATCTAACAGTATCGTAAAAGTGGGGGATGCTGAGATAAATTTTCCGTTCGTCGTAACCACAAGTTTATCGAGACCGATATTAGGAGCAGATTTCCTAAGAGAAGTAAAAGCGATAGTTGACTTAAGAAGCGGTAAGGTGGTCACGAAATATGGTTCATTGACAATACACGAAAGTAGCGAAGTTGCTGAAATAAGAGTTGCAGCGGATGTCTCGTCAAAGAAGCTAAACATTCACGAGTTATGCAAAAAGTATGCCAAACTATTCACTGGAGATGGGGAGCCGTATGGATATTGTGACAGAGTAAAGCACGAAATACCGATAAAGAACAGTCGAGTAAATATATTTGCAACACGTCGTGTCCCGGTGCATTTAGAGGCCGAGGTAAATCGTCAGGTCCAGGAAATGTTAAAAGAAGGTATAATTGAGGAAGCGGACAGTCCATATAGCTCGCCGGTACTCTTGGTAAAGAAACCAAATGGAAAGTATAGATTTTGTGTCGACTTCAGAGAATTGAATAATATAACAGACCTGAAGCCTTGTGCAATGCCAACAGTGGCGGAAACATTAGATCGGCTACAGAATGCCACGGTGTTTACAGTGCTGGATTTACGGTCAGGTTATTGGCAACTGCCTATAAAACAGAGTGATCGAAGCAAGACAGCGTTTACTGTACGTGATAAACAGTATCAATTTAAACGAATGCCGTTCGGGTTGGCGGGTGCACCGTTCACGTTCAGAAGATTAATGACACTACTGCTCAAGAATCTAGATAATGTCGAGGTATATGGCGACGATGTAGTTGTGTACAGTCAAACAGAAACAGATCACATCAAGCATGTGGAAGCGGTCTTAAAGCGAATTGACGAATTTGGACTTCGGATTAATAAGGACAAGTCGCAGATAGCGAGAAGTAGCGTCACATTGTTGGGACATAAAGTGGGAAATGGAGAAATAAAACCATTGCCGGAGAAAATTCTTACCATAAAAAATATTGCAGTACCTAATTCGAAAAGGAAGTTGAGACAGTTCCTGGGAAGAGCGGCGTTCTACAGTCGGTTTATCAAGAATTTCAACGAAATAGCAGCACCCTTATATAAGTTATTAAGCAGCACCAAGTTTACGTGGACTGAGACTGCCGAACAAACGTTCAACCGAATCAAAAACATGCTAGACGATCGCCAGATGACGCTCAGACTGCCTGAACCGGGAAGACTGTTTACAGTGGCCACAGACGCGAGTGATCATGGTATAGGTGCTGTGTTGAGTCAGGCTGATAGAGTGGTGGAATACGCGAGTCGCGTCCTCACACCTGCTGAACAGAAGTATTCAACCATCGAAAAGGAGTGTTTAGCGATCGTGTGGGCAGTGGAAAAATGGAGACCATACCTTTTAGGTAGACGATTTCACATTGAGACCGACCATAAACCCCTGCAGTGGTTGAAAACAGCAAGAGACCCCCGAGGGAAGTTGGCGCGATGGATGATACGCCTGCAAGAATACGATTTCAGTATCGGCCATGTTCCAGGAAAAGAAAACGTAATGGCAGATTACTTGTCAAGACCAGACATGGAAGCCGACCTGCCATTAACAGCATACGCGGTGAATAGTTTAGAGGGAGACCCATTAGAACTCGTCCGGCAGCAGAAAGCTGACCCTAACCTTCGAGAGGTAATCAGAGTGATAAAAGAGGGAGCAGACGTAGATAAACGAACAATGGACAAGGAGGTAATAACGCTGCTTCGGCAAAAGGACCGACTGAGAGTGAACTCATATGGAGTGCTGACCTGGCAGGACGATGATGAAAATTGGGTGGCGGTGATCCCGAAAGACTGGCGGCGCAAAGTGATACACGAGTGTCACCAGGTAGCACATACAGGCATCGCAAGAACGACGGACTTACTACGACAAAGTGCATACTGGCCGAGCATGAGAGAAGATGTGGCTGAATACGTGTTAACCTGCCAGCAGTGTCAGCTAATGAAAAGCGATCGATACACACAACCGCCATTACAGTCAATCCCAGTAACCGCAGTCGGTGATCTATGGTCGGTGGATGTGATGGGACCGTTTCCACAGACGGCGAGCGGTAACCAGTACCTGTTAGTGATGACGGAACATGCTACACGTTGGGTAGATGCCGTACCCATTGCAGACCAGCGGGCAAGGACAGTGACCGAGGTGGTAATCCGGCATATTGTAGCGTGTCACGGAATACCGAAGATGATATTAACTGACCAGGGTCCCTGTTTTGAAAGTGACGAGTTTAAAGCCCGTTTAAAGCAGTTTGGCATCAAGAGAATACGAACTACACCGTATCATCCTCAGACAAACGGGCTTACAGAGAGAAACAATCGGACGTTAAAGGAATGGTTAGCATCAAAAGGAGGAAATTGGGAGAAAGAGTTACCATTGATTTTGCTGGCACATCGTTCCTCCACACAAGGAACAACCAAGAAGTCACCTTTCTTGCTCATGTATGGCAGACAACCACGACTTCCAATGCATAATAAGACCTGGCCACAACAACAGAAGTGGACGACAACAAGGTTAAGAAAAGAGAGGAGAGAGGCAATAAGGAACGTGAAAAAGAAACAAATATCAGACACAAAGAAGGCAGAACAACAGAGGAGAACGTGGAAACCATTTGCAGTGGGGGACCTAGTAAAGTGTAGAGAACGAAAAAGTAACATAGCAGGGGGAGCAGGGTCGGGGAAGCTGGCCCCAAAATGGGAAGGACCGTATGTTATAACGGAGAGACGCGGCTCGGTCTACACTATTCGGAGAGAAGACAAGCAGAAGCGCGTAAATGCTAGTCAACTACAGAGATGGTTTCAAGATCATCATGGGTGTGAATCACGAAAAGCACCAAAGAACACAGCGGTACGGAGATCAGAAAGACTACGACAGCAACTTGTTAAAAGGGGGGACGAGTGTGGTGCGTGCTACTTATATTGATATAAGTAGTATATAACGTGAGTCAAAAGAACGTAATGTCTGGCAGCAGAAGATGGAGAAGATCAAGAAAAGAAGAGCGAGAAAACAATGGAATTTGTAAGAAATCGCATGAACAATGAAATGCGAGACATTAGATATGATAGAATGATATTTTGCAAATTAACGATTTACTATATGGTTTTTCTATTTTACCAAGTAATTCTGTAATTTGTCCTAAATACAATTTGGTTGTCCTCAACCGTGTTCTTCTTCACTACAGTGTAAGTGGTTCTAGAAGTAGCGGTTTTTGTCCCAGAGATTTCTTGTTGCAGCAGTAAGGTTTTTGAAGTACAGAATAGTACTATAAAAATGTAAATCATTATTCACAGGAAGACAGACCATACTTCAAGTAGCTATCGTGTGGGGGGTATGTTGTTACTTTCAGTTTAATGAGGCCGTCGCCACTACTGTAGTACTATTTCCATGTTTCCTGAGAATAAGTATCCTTTTACAGTAAGGGTAGCAGGTTATATCAGTCATCTGTATACTTCCAGCAAAACTTGTCTACACACTTTCAACGTTTACTCGTTCTTTTCGATTTCTTATTCCTTTTATTATTTAACCTTCTTAAATATAAGCAGACATTAACAGTTTGATCGGATAAATTGTTTAATTTAACCTTTTGAAATTCCCCTATTGGTTATAACATTTTGCACGTGCTTTATCGTAGCTGCTCCCTTAATGTGTCGGTCGGGCTTGCTTATCTTAATAACCCAGTCTAGCGATACGGACTGTAACTATTTTACTATTAGGTCCAACTTTCCCAAGCGGATCGATTGAAGGACACCAAGACTAAAAGTAGCAACTCAATCTGAATACGTCTGCTAACTGTACAGAAGTGTGACCGCAGTCAGGTGTTTCTCAAAAATAGACAAGGTCTACGACGCTGCTGCCTTCTGAAAACAGGAAACATTTGAAAATTTTAGTCTTTTGAAGCATGGAGCTAACACATTACAAACTTCAAGGTAAGATTGTGTGTGTTACCGGCCTTGAGCAGTTATCCTTTCGAATCGGCGTTCACGCTACCAGCTCGGTACGATCACTGCTAATCTATTTTCTTCATCTTTCACGGTGTGAGCAACTACGACGTGACAACCGCCCTTATACCTCTAACAACACTAGAGAGTTTCTTGTTCACAATCGCATCCTACCATCACTTCACTTTCTGTTATTTCCACTATCATCCCTTTTCCTTTGACCGACTAAATAGGAAGTAAAAACAAAGAAAGATAAGATCATACATTTCTTCGTCATCATCGCCTCTACTCTCACTGACTGTGGTTTTTATAAAAAAAGAAGTCTTTTAAAAGATTTCTGACCTCTTTCTAGGAGCTAAACACAGACTTGCTAAGGTTTTTATAGTTCGCTTATTTTTGTATCCTGAAATAGTCGTTTATGATTGTGCTAAAATGATTTCATTAAGATACTTTTTGTCATATCTTTTGAAATAGTTTAAAGTGACTATAATAAATCAGGATTTTCTGGTTAGTTAAGAAAATAAATATTTGGCGTCATCTTTTTTCTAGAATGGCTGGTCATTCGGAATATCCATTCAAAGACGCTTATTGAATATTCAATGAATGGAACATGATTGAACTGTAAGATTTAATCTCATTATGCTGTTAGAAAATTTAGAACAACACATATACAATATGGGATATTTCAAATTTTGTTAGAAAATTGTCTCAGTTGTGCTAATTTTTATCATTAAATAAAATCTGATTCGATTCAATCAGTCTTTTCGGCTTTAACCTGATGTATTACACATCACATTTTTTAAAGGTTTTGTTGAGCATTTGATTTATGCTCCGGTACGACTGAGGATGGGGGAGAGTCCGCTCTCGAAGTGCTCTCACGTGTATATGGCCACTGACAGAGAAATCCTGCTCACTGCATTCTCGTTGCTAGGGTTTTCCTTATGGGATTGAAAGGATGAAAAGCGAATGCCCGGCGTTTTAACCGCGTTGGTTGTAAAGGAGAACCCACCTAGGGGAGTTGGTAAACCCTGATTCCAAACCAATGGTCCATATTGACTCCAGGATCCTGACGAAACAAACGGCGTATGAACCTATTGTTGGTCACCGGCTACCATGGAACTGCATATCCCAACGTAGTTCAACTGTCTTGTGGATTAGACCTTTAGGTCAAAGGCTCAGGGCGTAGCCCTCTATGAAAAGCACCTGCCTCGGTTTGGCCGCGTGTGTAGTGATTTAGCCGTCACACATGATTTTTGAGGCGCATATATATTTGGTGCCTCGTACTAATTTTTATGTGTTTAAATAAAAATTGATTTGAGTGTTACGAACTCGAAGTAATACACAGTTGTTAGTGATTCTACATTATAACGGTTAGCCAAATAATCATTTTTACCCCGCTAGTAACAATTATTATTTTGTAACATAGTAACAATACGTTCAACGTCATTAAATTTGATTTGTGTATATGCGGTACAACATTTGAGTGTTTTTGGGGATGTCATATGTGTAAATTGTTGTAGTCAACGATTTAAAGCGTTTACTTTGTAGTGAGTGTATCATGGCATTTCTAACCGAAATAGATTTGGTGTGGCTACATATGGATTATGAAGAACGTGGAATCTCAAAGACTAGTAGTGTACATCATTTTTAATATTTTTTTACACCTGGTGAAGTGAAAGGTTTCGACGTCTGGATTTTGCAACTGTGCTGTTGATTTTACCAAATGATTGTTGCTTTGAAATTAATTTAGTTGATAACACCGTCCTAATGGTAAGTCTGTGTGGGAGGATAGAATGTATATTGTATGGATAAAGAGAGCATGTCTAGTGGTCGGAAATTGGGGCGTCAGATTGGAAGCAAACAGATCGGAATGATAGTAATATGATTGGTGACAAACTAGACGTAGAGGATGTGGTTCGAAAAGGAACACGTTGAGTCGGGGGAGTAAAAGGTATTGGTAATACTATATTTGGAATTCGAAGTATGGTGAGAAATTTTTACAACTACGATTTATGTACAGCCATATCATTTAAGGTTTACAGTTACTTGTTAGCATTACTGTATGAACTGGAATCGAAAAGCATACACACTAAAAGACAGATCACTTCAACACTCAATGCTTGGTGTCATACTTTCATTGGGCGGACCTTACTGTTTCTCATATGCTAGTCGGAATTGTGTCGCGGTAAGCGATGTCTAGCAATACATGGTAGGTGAAGATGTCTCATCCATGTCGTTTGTTGATAGTTTGCACACTGGTTTCAATCTGTCGAAGATTGGATGTTCTTGAACTTACCCCACAGTTATTGTGAGAAGACTAAATTATCATTTTTGCTGAAAGAGCTTTACATCTCTTCAGTGGCTTGGGTGCTCATTATTTGAACAGTTATTAGCAGCAGACTCGCTACTTCACACTTGGGCTCTTAATAAATATTCAGAGCTTGCATTCGTAGTGTAATCGTATTTATAGTTATGCGTTTGTGAAGATTTGTAGCTCAGATGCACGATTTTGATGTAGGTTCGTTCTCTGAACTGGATGGTTTGCTTATGAAGCTCTCATTGTTTTTTTGAACAGTATCATCAGCACAAAGTTCTACCAGAAGTTTTTAGTTAAATATCTGCTACGGATAATAGTCGATAGTAAATTAGAATAGTTTTGAATGATTAAAAACCTGAAGTGCTATCATACCATAAATTGTTTACGTAAAGAATTTGTACAATAATTAAACAGCCAATAAAAAATGTTAAGATAAAGTTGATGGTTCACTCTAATAAATATCAACAACGATTACCAGGATTTCAAAGAGAGCAAGAACAAAGGTTGGTGCAGAATAATATGAATTCATTTTATTTCGTTAGGTTCTCATCAGCTGCTTACAACCTAAAATATTTGAAATTCAAAGTTATTAAAGATACTGACATACTTATACAACAGAGGGTGATGAAGGATGAATATATGTAACATGATGTAGCAAAGATTTCGTTAGAGTTAATGAGGTCATAAAATTTTTGTTTCGAATATATAGAGTTTGGGAGGGAAGGTTCCAGAACATTGAAATAGTGATTAAAAATCGTGGAGTAAACAAACATTAGATGATTGTGTAATTAAATAACTGAAAATAGATTAATGGTAATAGAGAGATATGAATTGAAATTGGTCAGTTATGAATGATGTAATTATAAAATTCAGGAGTTGGAGTGACGTAATGAATAAAGGGGGGGTAATGTTACCAGGGCAAAGAAAGATTTATCACTCTTTCTTTTTGTATACATAAATCTGATTTTAACGTTTGATTGCTATTGCTTCGGCAAATTTCAAAAGGTTTGAATTTGATTGTTTGTTGATCACCTTGAAGGACTTCAGTATATCAACTTCGTGTCCTGTGCTAAGATGTCATGCGATAGCTCTGCTAAATGCTTTTAGTCTGTTTGATCTCAAACCATTCGGAATATGTTCTTTGAATCGGACGTAGGCTCTCCTTTCTGTTCTACCAATGTAACTGCTTTGGCAGATACCAAGATTAATTCAAGGTTACGATAAATTGTTTTTTGTTCACATGAGGGAGGATTAAATTTACGAATAGCCAAGACTTCAATAAACCTAGAATTCATCCTTGAAAATTTCTACACAACGTTTTAAAAGCTGTGTGGATGTCAATTTTGTGTCCCATTTCAATGATATGCTTCGCTAAAATGAAAATGGTTTTCTACCTTCCATGTTTATCGGATCATTTGACATTAATTTGTTTAGAAACCATCTAGGCACATGTTCAATGACCGTTGATTGCATTGTGCGATTACTCCTACTTATGTATGTGTGTCCATACAAACATGTATATTGGTAAACTTCGTTTTCTCATTGCTCTATCGAAATTTATAAAACGAATTAATCACATTATATTCATCTTATGTACAGATATAGTACAAACCGCTTAGAAGTCTAAAATGTAATAATAATTTCTATCGAATGTCTATTTCAGTATTTCTAATAGTTGGATTTATAAGTCAATCTAAGCGAGACCGCCATTGAAAACTTTGAAGCCCTGAAAGGCAGTTTCATCCTAGCATAGAACTCCTCAGCAGTGGGCATCCATGATTTCTCATGAGGAATTCGAACCCACGACCTCCGGTCCACTCACTCACGCTTAACCTCGAGACGGCATCGAACGATGCTAATGTTTAACTTCAACCAATCCATGATCTAACGCAACCATTCATCCTTTGTCTGAGGTAAATACCTGTGTCTATCCGTAAGAGATCGTACACTACTGGCATGGCTTCTCATTAGAACTCTAGGTAACTCAACTTGAATGGTTGTGCAAGATCATAGGTCGATTGAAGTTGGATATTAACACCATTGGATGCTGGCTGAGTCGTCTAGGGGTTAAGCGTTTGCGCACAAGACCGAAGGTCCTGGGTTCGAGTCACACATGTGGGATTGTAGATGAGCACCGTTGAGAAATCTCATACTAGGAGTAAACGGCCTTTCGGTGTTTCGAGGTTTCCAATGGTGGTTTAGCATAGATTGACTCATGAATTCAACTATTAAAATTGCTACAATATCCACAAAATCATTCTGATACTTCAGTATATACAATAAAAAATCAACTAATTAGTGTAATCATCTCATTTCTTTATTTATTCACTTTCAGTTTAAGAATCTCAAAAGTATGGAATCAATAAAAGTGAACATTGGTCATTCTATTCATGTTGTCGGTCTTCGTATATGGAATGTAGACTAGAAATATTAATTAATAACGATGTTGTTTGAAGTTCATCAGATGTAGTTGTTGAAGCTGTATAAAAAGCTATAGAAGTTGGTTATCATCTAGATTGTTTATATTTATATAAATGAAATTGAAGTTGGTATAACTTTAGAAGATTCAATGAAATTTCAAAAATTGAACAGAGATGAAATATTTGTCACTTAAATCCAGTCAGCTAGAGTTGCGCTCTTATTCTAACGGACGTGTAGAGAAAAGAAAAGTGCAACATTATTGTACATGATACCGTTTCGTTTAATGTATAGCATCTATGTAGTATTGAGTGCTTCAACCGACCTAGATATGCTTATTTAAAATATGTTTATATTTCATTCAAATTATGAACTGGTTTAAACTAGACCACCATTGAAAACGTGGAAGTACATCCTTGTATATATTGTTTATATTTGTATAGTTGTTGACATCAACTTGCTTTCTGCTCTGCGTATTTTTTTTTCTATTCAACACAATTTACATTTAGATCCTTCTAAGTAAACCTCATTAAATATCTGAAAGCTTTCTTAGTTCTCTGTTAACATATGCAAGTGATACCATTTCTTAAAAATAAGAATGCGAAATATTTTTTAGTTTATAATCTTGTATATGAAGGTCGTTCATGAGTATCATGCTACTCTACATTCTAATTTGTACATATTTTACCTATTATAATTCTATTTTAAACATTTTAAAGATTTTGTACAGCTTCAACAACTACATCTTATGAACTCTAAGCAACATAGTTGGGCTGCAAAAAAATGGAACTCGATTTCGTAAACGTGGCCGTCTGCTTAGCGACCAATCAGAATGAGACGGGAATTACTATATCCGC